TCATTTTTTTTAAAATACGGAATGCTTCATGAATTTGCATGTCATCCTTGCGCAGGGGCCATGCTAATCTCTGTATCATTCCAATTTTAGTATATGTGCTGCTGAAGCAAGTACCCACTATTGATTTTAATACATGAAATTAACTCTTAATTAACTAGGCTGGTCAGATGGCTTCTAGTAAAGTGTTTACCATGACCTGACTCCACAGCTGGCCTCTCACTCTGATCCACACATGCACACATAAATAATTGGAATAAAAATGTCATACGAAATAATAATTTTCATGCCTCCCTTCCAAAAAAAGAAAAAGAAAAGAAAAAAGGAGCAAGGGATATAGCTCAGTGGCAGGGTGCTAGCGTGCACAGTCCTTCAGTGTGAGCCACGGTGCTGTAAGGAAGGAGAGGATGGGCAGGCACACAGATCACCAGGTACATAAATAATCACTTCATAATGAAACCAACAAATAGCAAATAATAGATTACATCTTCATGAACTTCATATATTATTGTTTACATATAGAATATCAAGTAAACATTTTAGTTCTTTGAAGGAATAAAAAACAGTTGTAATTTAATAGATGATTAAATTGACAAGGCTTGTTTCAAAGGCAGCCAAATAAAATCTTTAAAAATGAAAACTATAACTACTCTATTTGGCACTCACTGGATGAGTACAGTGTCAGCACAGCTGAAGAAGGAAGGTTTGATGCAGAAGATCTGACTGAAGGACCTGCCAGGGCATCAGCAGGAGGAATATGGAACAGGCTGCAGGGGAAGACGACTAGGATGCAAACAGGGCATAACCCCATGTCTGCCATCCCAGCACTCAGAGGTGAGGGCAGGAAGGTAAGAAAAGAGAACAAGGCTGGTCTCAGTTACACAGTTTGTGAATGAGTTCTTGTCTTTAAAATGGGTGGTGGTAGAATGTAAATGAATAAAAGCACTTAGAAAAAAATCTAGGGCTGAGAAAATGACTCTGTGTAAGAGCACTTGCTGTACAGCAAGCACCCATGTGACAACCTAACAGCCTGGGAGAGCTCCACGGAAGGGGATATCTACGGCCCCTCCCTGCTTTAAAAAGCCTCTGAATCTAATGGTTTGATTCCTCTATATCTGTCTCTCCTGTGCATGCGTGCGTACGCACACACACACAGATATACACACACACACGTCCGATGCCTGTAACCCCAGTGCTGTGTGAGTCTCAAAGGAGTAAGGTAGAGAGCAATAGAGCAGGACACCCAATGTCCTACTCTGCCACAGCACACAGATGAGCATGTGCACTGCCCCCGTCTTAACTCTGGCTTGGTTTTTTATGATTTTGGTGTTTTTTTTTTTTTAGAGTAAATGTGATATATAAATTTGTCAAAATTTAGCCGGGCGGTGGTGGCGCACGCCTTTAATCCCAGCACTCGGGAGGCAGAGGCAGGCGGATCTCTGTGAGTTCGAGGCCAGCCTGGTCTACAAGAGCTAGTTCCAGGACAGGAACCAAAAGCTACGGAGAAACCCTGTCTCGAAAAATCAAAAAAAAAAAATTGTCAAAATTTAAAATGTGTGCTCTTAGATGACTCAGAGATAAGAGTATTTGTTGCTCTTGCAGAGGACCTGGTTCAATTTCTGGAACACACATGTTGGATCACAACTTCGTTCCAGAGGATCCATTGTCCTCATCAGGCACACATGTAGGGCACATTCATACATACATACAGGCAAACATCTATACATGTAAAAATAAGTCCTTAAAATACATGTTCTTCCAAAGACACATCTAAGAGAATGGAAAAGATCAGCTTTCAACTAAGAGAGAAAAACATCTGATAGAAAAATCCTGAGAGCTATGAAGAACTTGTGTAACTGAGCTGGGCAGTGGTGGTGCACACCTTTAATCCCAGCACTCAGGAGACAGAGGCAGGCAGATCTCTGAGTTCAAGGCCGGCCTGATCTACAGAGTGAGTTCCAGGACAGCCAGGATTACACAAAACAAAACAACAAAAGCCAAAACTGATAATAACTGAGTTGTGAATTTACTGATAATTTGTCAGGGTCTGGTGGCAGCCGGGACCATAAATTATTTCTCTGGGCCGGCGTGGAGGCGCGGGAATAAAGACACAACTCACATGGCTTTATCCAGAGGGAGATTCTCAGTGGTCCCTCATGAAATCCTGAGTTTACATCCTAAAAATTCCCCTCATTTATTCTCCAAACAGCCTTTATACCCAAATGTAAACTGAGGGGGAGATACATTAGCATTCTGTTTCCTAGGTAACCAGGTGAATGTCTCTTGTCACATCTACCTCTTTGACCACACCTTTCTATGCCCATTTTGTCATGTCTCCCTGGTCTTCCTGCTCAGTATGCTAGCTCTGTCACGTAGGCTGAATTAGCACCTCTTTTCAGGCATCCTCCAAATTACAAAGAGAGCAAAACAACATCCTGATCCTTTGTTAGGGTAGCAACAGCCAGTCTGGAAGGCTACGTGACCACCTCAAGTGTGGCCTATGGCTTGAGAGCCTGGCTGCCATACCATAAGAAATATGGGCCTACAATAATATGAAAATATGCCTTATCAAAGTAGGCATGAAGATGGCCAGGGCTAGGAGAAGATATCAACATAACTGCTACCACAATGAGAAGTCACCACCCATCTGCTAAAATGATCTCAACCACGTCTTAGCACAGATCTGGAGAAACTGGGCCAGCCGCACATTGCTAAGCCACGGTGGCAGGGGGGTGTAAAAAGGTGGAAAGATGTAAGCAGTGAAATAAGAGTCTCCCAGGCTAGAGTGACACTTGCTATGTAGACCAAACTGGCTTCAAATTCACCATGATCCCCCTGCCCCAGCTTCTCGAGTACTGGGATTACAAATTCACCATGATCCCCCTGCCCCAGCTTCTCAAGTACTGAGATTACAGAAGTGTACTATCACATCAAGTTTCGGCAGTTTCTTCCAAATCTGAACATGTGCCTATCATGTTGAGCACATTACTGTATGAGCCATTCTTGGGCATCTCTCAGAGGAGAAACTGCCACAGGAATCAATTCTCATCACAGCATCAGCAAACCACAATGGAAACAGTGCAAACACCAGCAAGGAGCTGCTATATATATATCCAAAAATATGTTTCAGTACTAGCAAAAATGAAGAGAATTCAATTTTAAAACTTGGGAGCTGGGCATGTATCCCAGTGAGAGGGCCTGTCCTTAGCATAAGTCAGGCCTGGCCTAGCTCCCTAGCGCTACAAAAAACAAATGTAAGCAAAAGTGAATTCAAAGACACACATGGATTGATAGCAAAATGTTGGAAAATAAACACCAGAGAGGAACAGAAGCAATCGGAGTCCTGCTGCATTGCCGCTGGGACTAGAAAATGGGGAGGTTGCTTTGGAATACAGTTTGGGAGTTCCTCAAAAAGTGATCCAACTTCAAGATGTACCCTAAAAATGAATGTGTATGCCCACACAAGAACCTGTCGGTAGCCGGGTGATGGTGGCACACACCTTTAATCCCAGCACTCGGGAGGCAGAGGCAGGCGGATCTCTGTGAGTTCGAGACCAACCTGGTCTACAGAGCTAGTTCCAGGACAGGCTCCAAAGCCACAGAGAAACCCTGTCTCGAAAAACCAAAAAAAAAAAATAATAATAATAATAATAATAAAATAAAAAGAACCTGTCAGTAAACATAGTGATTTCAGAATAGCAGGAAGATGGGAGACACCACAGAGGCTCACCAGCTCATGACTGAGTAAACCAAACACAGGACAGTCATTGATTTTATTTTGTTTTTGAGATAGTCTCACAATATAGTCTGTAAATCAGGCTGGCCTTGAACTCAGATCTGCCTGCCTCTGCCTCCCAAATGCTGGGATTAAAGTATGGTATTTACTTTTTTTAAACGGCATGCACCACCATGCCCAACTTTTGGTTATTTTTATTTTGTTTGGAGACTATGTCTCTCTACATAGCCCTAGCGTTCTGGAACCTACCATGCAGACCAGGTTGGCTTGGAACTTACAGAGGTCTGCCTTCTGAGTACCAGGATTAAAGTATGTACCACTGTGCCCAGCATTTATTTGTTTTATTATTTTAATAATGTGTGTGTGGGGGTGTGCATGTGTTAGCACTGTCCCAGGAGTACAAAAGAAAGTCTCAAATCCCCTGGGGCTGGCGTTACAGGAGATTGGGAGCCACCTAATATGGGTGTGGGAATCAAACTTGGGGCCTCTGCCAGAGCAGTAAGTGCTCTTAACCCTGAGCCATCTCTCTAAACTTCTTATTTTTTTAGTAATGTAAAGTTATTAAACTACACAAAGGGATAGAATCCTGGCACATAAATCAACATTATCCTAAATGAAATAAGCCAGACAGAAAATGCAGTGTAGTCTACAGCTCTACTTATATAGTGAAAGGCTTCAAATGGGCAAACCATAAACAAAGCAGACGAGTGAGCGATTATGAGCGCCCGGGGCATGAGGGAAAACAGACTTTGATTCGATAATGCAAAGATAACATTTAATGTGGCCGTTCAATCCGTTCCTTTATAAGGAGACCAGTGAGGCCTCATTAAACACTCGTAATTCAATTTTTCCCACGTCTTGTTTTTTAAGACAAATTCTCCTGTAGCCCAGGCGAGCCTAAAACTCACTAGCTGAGGATGGCCTTGAACTTAGGATCCTGCTTCTCCCTCCTTTGTGCTGGAATCGCAGGCCTGTATCACCACCACTCATGGCTTATGCAGTGCTGGGGACCAAACCCAGGGCTCTGTGCGGGCTTGGCAAGCTCTCAACCGAGTGAGCTACACACCACTGGCCGCTGTTCATACTTAGTTTTTGAGTCTGAGTCTCCCTCTGTGGCCCAGGCTAACCTTGACCCAGTAGCAATCTTCCTGCCTCCGTCTACACGTGTGAGTCACCACCCTTGGACTACACATGGACATCTGAATCACTGTAAAAGTGCCTGCAATTATTAAGACATAAAGAGTTCTGCTCATTCTTCTGCTGGCAGGCAATGGTACAAGCATCCTACAAGAAGCGAAAGTGCACTTCATTTCTCGAGAGGTCTGTAATTCTGAGAGGAGCTATGGAGGAGTGATCCCTAGCACCTCGTTCTGTGCAGGTCACGAGAATGGGACCTTTGACACATGCAGGGTAAGACCAGATACCCTCTGAGGGCTCTTCTAAAGCCAGGGGGACCTGAACAGAGCTCTTAACTATTAGGCTAATGGAAAAATTCCTCTCTTTTCTCCTTCCTCCAACAATCCAAACCTTGGATGGGATTTACTGGTTCTTATTCCTATCAGACTCAAGTGCAGGCCACACCCCCTTGACTCCACCCTCCTCCTGCTCCTCTTCTCCCTGGTTTAAACTCTTGTCTTATTTTATGTGTTTCAGTGCCTTGCCTGAAGTTTTCTGTTTGTGTTTGTAGTGCCTAGTGCCTGAAGAGGCCAGAAGATAGCATCAGATTCCCTGGAACTGGAGTTACAGACAGTTGTGAGCTGCCATAGGGGTGCTGGGAATTGAACCCTGCTCCTCTGTAAGAGCAGCCAGTGCTCTTAACCACTGAGCCTCCTCTCCCAGCCTTCTTTTTCTTGCTTTTTTATTGTCACCCAGAAGCACCCACACGCCCATTTACATTATATAAGTGAGTGGGTTTTTAGAGGTGAGCATCCCCTCAGGTCCAGCTCTAGGACTGAAGAAACCTTCCCCATTAAGAACCTTGTGTCAGGGCCGGGCGGTGGTGGCGCACACCTTTAATCCCAGCACTCGGGAGGCAGAGGCAGGCGGATCTCTGTGAGTTCGAGCCCAGCCTGGTCTACAAGAGCTAGTTCCAAGACAGGCTCCAAAGCAACAGAGAAACCCTGTCTCGGAAAAAAAAAAAAAAAAAAAAAAAAAAAAAAGAACTTTGTGTCAGGGCTGGAGACACAGCTCAGCAAAGTGCTTGCTGTGAAAAAAATAGCCGGACATGTTACAGGCGTGTAAACCCAATGCTCCTTCAAGGAGATGGGAAACAGACAAGGGAGTCCCCAGAAGCCTGCAGGCCTTGTAGACAGTAGTACAACAAGAGACCCTGCCTCAGGCCAGGGGGAGGGAAGACTGAGCTGAGGTTGCCCTCTGACATCTACACACTTGCAATGATATTTGAAGAACACACCTGACATTGACCTCTGACCTCCATACACATGTCTGGTCATTGTTATTTTACACTGGGGATGTTAGACCCTGTTCTACCCCTGATCTATATTTCTCGTTTGTTGTTACTGTCTTGATTTTTTAAAGGAGGATCCCACTGTGTAGCTTTGGCTGGCCTAGAACTCATACAGATCTGTCTGCTTCTGCCTTCTGAGTGCTGGGATTAGAGGCGTGCAGCCCCTACACCCCGCTATTTGTCTGTGTTTGTGAAGGATATTATTTGAAGCATAAGTTTCCAATTTTTACGAAATCTGATTTCCTTCTCACCTTTTCTTTCCCAACCTTTTTTCTTTTCGTCTTGGAAACTGAACCTCTCAAGTGCTGAGGGCCCGCTGTGCCCTGAGAGGCATGTGGTTGGCTTCTTATGCTCGTTACTGCTGCCAGAGGCACCAGCCCTGGACATGCACAGCGATGTTCTGCTCTCACATGCTCTTATCCAGTCCTAATTCAGTCATCTCAGCTTCGTGTTTCCTCTGTTCTTTTCCTAAAAAATCTCTGTGAATGAAACAATGAAACATTTGGTTTAAATGAATTGCATTCCCTAACAAATCATCAAAAACAATGATTTCAATAATCATTCAATGCCTGCCAATATAAAGAACTGTCAACACTCAAAACCAGGCCTTCCCCTGTAGGCGCTGGAATACTGACCTCCGCATCCTCCCTGCTTTGAGGACTAGCAATTACCACAGGCACTTTTGGGTCCTCTGGTGGTTTTGTCTAAACACTGAAGGTCTGGTTGGTCACAGCAGCACTGACTCCCATCTTGCAGTAGCCGATCTCAGCTCTTGAGGACATGCCGTCCCTGTGGACAACAGTGTGTGCTTCCTAGGTAGCTAACGGCACACACGTGTCTCACTTTTGAAAAGGGGCCTTTCCCACACAATGGTAAAGAAAGCAAAAATTCTAAAAACTCTTTTTTTTCAGTCTTTTGTATACTTTCTAAATTATATTTCTCCTGAGAACTATGCTTTAAAATCCAAACAATTTCATCCTAACCATGCGGATGACTTGATCTCCAGTGAGGCACCCCTCTCGTGTAAGTTGAACATTAGACTGAGAGAGTCCCGGTTCCCTGGAGCATTGTGTTAATATGTGAGGGCACCTTAGAAATGTGTGTGGTTGGGGCTGTCTCAGCAAAGCACCGGCTCCCTGCCCTTCATTCTTGTGTGAAGTGTAGCGAGCTGCTGCCAGAAAGAGAACCAGAAACCCAGAAACCCCATGCTATCCTGGAGTGTAACGAGCAGGATATTCACAGAAACAGGTGTGGTGTAACTGAGTTGTCTCAGCATAAGAAATGACAAAACCACCTTGGATTTCTACAGGGCGACAGCGGTGGCCCACTCATGTGCTATTTACCGGAATACAGGAGATACTTTGTGATGGGCATCACCAGTTACGGCCATGGCTGTGGCCGGAGACGTTTCCCCGGTGTCTACAGTGGCCCTGCCTTCTTCCAGCCGTGGCTCACAGAGCATTTCTCACGGGGCAGTACTATGCGAGTGTTCCATGCAGACGTGGGGCTGGGCCAGATCCTCGTGGCTTTAGGCCCTGTCATCCTTCTAGGAGTGACATAAAGAGACACTGCAGACTGTCAGTCTGTCCCTGCTGTGTTCTACACAAGGAGATTGTTCTTCCGAGCTCACTGTAGTGTTCTCACGTCAGCATTGTTTCTTGAACAATGTCACAAAGGACTGTGACAGATACACAGTTGTGACTTTTGGCACCAAATCACGTGCCTCCTTAGAGCCTGATTGTTTTGTTGTTTAATCGTAATTTTGTATTTGGAATACTCTCTTAGAGTTTGTATAAATTGTTCGGTTCACTCTGTACTTTATGTGTATAAATGCCAATAAACAGTTCATAACACAGCTGAAAAATCTTTTGTTAAACTCATCAAAACACATTTTAAGTTAAATTTTATTTGACTTCCTTTTCAGTTTGGGTGTGGTGGCAGAGAGTTCATGGCGGTCACTTGGCTCTGCTGTTTCTGGGCCTGGGCTGAGGCAGTGATGGTGGGAGACAGGTTAAGCCAAGTAGCTCGCTCATGACAGCCAGAAGCAGACGGGCTAAGGCTATGTAGTCACGAAGCGCAGGCATCTTAAAATCATTTCTGTATGTATTTTGAGATGAGGCTTCACTATGTAGCCCAGGCTAGCCTCAAGTTTGAGATTCTCCTGCCTCAGCCTCCTGAGTACAAGGATTATAGGTGTGAGCCACTGTGTGTAGCTAAGTATTTGTAAAGTACATAACAATAGAAAGAAAAACTTCTATAGTCCTAAGATGCCTACCACGAAATCCTATCTTTTCATTTAATTTTTTATGCCAGCTATTCTGAAAGCTTCCATATATACAATAGGTATAAAAATAGTACCACAATTATCCATCCATACTTTATTCCCTCATTCTAACATCATGTTCTTAGACTCTCCTTCTACATGCACATGCGCCCATATGCGCACACACACACACACACACACACACACCTGTAAATAAGCTATTAAATAAATAACTAAGCACTTCCCAAACTTGGGAAGAAAAATGGCTGCCAAGTTCATGAAGCCCATAGGTCCCCAAAAAGTTGAACCCAAAGGACACCAAGACATATTATAATTTGTCTAAAGTCAAAGAAAAAGTTCCAAGAACTACAAGGGGAAAAAGTCTCTGTTCAACTATCAGCATGTTCCTCAGCAGCCATCTTGAAGGGAAGGAAAGAATGGAGCGTTTTAAAAATCTTGAAAAAAGAAAACTAAGCCATAACAGCAGCAGAAACGCAAGATCCCTAGACCCTGCAAAGCTGAGCTTCAGAACAACAGGGCTGGAGAGCAGGTCAGTGGAACTGCTTACTCAGCATGTGTGGCCCTGGAAGGGGGAGAAGAGAGGGAAGGTGGGGTAGGGGGAGAGAACCCAAGAGGAGCAGGGGAGGGGAGAGGAAAGATGGGGTAGGGGGAGAGAACCCAAGAGGAGGAGGGGAAGGGAGAGGGAAGGTGGAGGGGGGAGAACCCAAGAGGAGGAGGAGAGGGGAGAGGGAAGGTGGGGAGGAAGAGCCTAAGAGGAGGAGAGGGGAGAGGGAATGTGGAGGGGGGAGAACCCAAGAGGAGGAGGAGAGGGGAGAAGGAAGGTGGGGGGGAGAGCCCAAGAGGAGGAGAGGGGAGAGGGAATGTGGAGGGGGGAGAGCCCAAGAGGAGGAGGAGAGGGGAGAGGGAAGGTGGGAGGGAGAGAACCCAAGAGGAGGAGGGGAAGGGAGAGGGAAGGTGGGGGGGGGAAGAGAACCCAAAAGGAGGAGAAGGAGAGGGGAGAGGGAAGGTGGTGGAGAAGAAAAAAAAAAAGAAACCAAGACACAATGTGGACCTTTCTGAATGAACACAAGCTGAGTTCACGGCTGTCCTTGCCTTAGAGACATGCTCTAAGGGATCAAGCTTAGGAAGGAGTGACTGTTATACAAATTACATGGATGATAAACTTGCCGGGCTCCAGCCTTGGCTTGGGTTCAGGTACTGAGGCAGGGCGCAAGGAAAACTCAAGTGACCCCAAATAGCCCCGGGCATCTTTATTTATACTTAAACAGAATTTTGTTTTGTTTTTTAACCAGGGTAACAAGAACAGCTTTACTATTGGCTTCTATTTTTGATTTTAGGGGATACATCGTAATTTAAGGAATACACCCTGATCATTATGAAAAGCCCCATTGTTCCCCTTTCTGCTTCCTCAAATACACCTTCCCACCCCTGCATAGCCTTATTCTAGACATGGAGTTCAGCATTTTTTCAGGCTTAACTAAATATCAAGCTGGACACATCCTGCTCCAGCAACACTTTATGTCAGCTGGCAGCTACTTGTGGTTACGAAGCTAAAAAAGTAATAGACATGGTCGCAATGCTTTAAGGATAGCAATATTCAAACGCAGACAGTTCTTTCATGTCTGCAAGTTATGCTCTTATATGGCTCCCTTTTCTACAAGAGGGTCCCATGTCTGCATCTCTCTGTAAGGCATGCTTTCCCCACCCCACACTGCACGCTCCTGTGTGGGGTAAAGATGGGCCTACGCAGTGGCTTTTCATCTGGAGCATTCCAGATCCTACCAACAATTCTATGTTGGGTGCCCAGGGAACTTTCTCTCTACAGTTGGCACTGTGGATTCCTGAGGCCTTTCCCCTCTCTGTGTCTGCGTGCCTTGCTCTCCTTTGCAGACCTATGGGACAAGGCCAGTGTTCCAAGTGTTGTTTTCTCACGGCTCCTGACGATCTCCACTGAGTCAGAAAAGTTCCCAGGATTGGGAGTTGTAGTTAGTGATTCCAGATAAGAGATTTGAGAAACATTAGCACACTGTTGAATCTTATGGTGAAAATTTTCAAGAAAGAACAGAACATCCAGAGAAAATTACAGCTGTTGCATGTGTGACTGACAAAGTAAAACTAAAAACTGTCCAAAGAATCACCAGTACAATGAGAGAGAAAAGAGCCTGCAAGCTGCATGAATTTTGGTCCTTGCTAAGAGAGACTCCGATCCCATGGGGGCCCATGGAAGGCCATTGCTGATCCAAGACTAGGCTGCACGGCTCCCAACATAAACCCACTGGAAAAGGTAAGTACATAGACACATTCAGGATCATGTAATTTCACAGCGGTCACATATGAACCAATTTCAATTGCTATAAAATTACTGCAGTTGGCCATGGCGGCCCATGTCTATAATCCCAGCACTTGAGAGGCTGAGGCAGGAGGATTGGGATATAAGACAAATCTATCTCAGAAATAAGCAAACAACTAGGGCTAATTACCTACAATAATGCATTGCAATGTGTTGTCATTGTTGAGACAGGGCCTTATATAGCCCAGGCTGGCCTTGAACTGATCCTCCAGCTCAGCCTTCCGACTGCTGGGATCACTGGGCATGAGCCACTACACCAGACATTTCTTTTCTTTTCTTTTTTTTTTTTTTATTTTCGAGACAGGGTTTCTCTGTAGCTTTTTGGTTCCTGTCCTGGAACTAGCTCTTGTAGACCAGGCTGGCCTCGAACTCACAGAGATCCACCTGTCTCTGCCTCCCGAGTGCTGGGATTAAAGGCGTGAGCCACCACCGCCTGGCCACCAGGCATTTCTTTTTTTTTAAATTTATTTATTTATTAAGGATTTCTGCCTCCTCCCCGCAACCGCTTCCCATTTCCCTCCCCCTCCCCCCGATCAAGTCCCCCTCCCTCATCTGCTCGAAGAGCAATCAGGGTTCCCTGACCTGTGGGAAGCCCAAGGACCGCCCACCTCTATCCAGGTCTAGTAAGGTGAGCATCCAAACTGCCTAGGCTCCCCCAAAGCCAGTACGTGCAGTAGGATCAAAAACCAACTGCGATTGTTCTTGAGTTCTCAGTATTCCTCATTGTCCGCTATGTTCAGCTAGTCCGGATTTATCCCATGCTTTTTCAGACCTAGGCCAGCTGGCCTCAGGCATTTCTTAAAGATATAAATCATCATATTAATGCCCTAACATATGAGTAGAGGCCAGGATTAAAAATATAGTGATTTTTGTATACAAAAGTGTTAAGTTACAAGTTATAGCTATAAAATGCTTCATGAACACACCATAGGGTTCTTGTTTGTTTGGCAGTGGCTTACTGGGTAAAGTTCCACTGTCTGTCTTCAGTGGGGCTACATGGCTTCTCCTGACTCTGCTTCCTTTCTCCCAGCATTCAGTTTAGTTTTTCCCACCTACCTAAGTTCTGCCCTATCAACAGGTCAAGGCAGTTTATTTAATAACCAATGGTAATCACAGCATACAAAGGGGAATCCCACATCACTTCACCCAAAAGCAAAGAAGAGTTAAATGGGTAAAAAATGAAAGTCAACTGGCTGGGCAGTGGTGGCACACACCTTTAATCCCAGTACTTTGGAAGCAGAGGCAACCTGGTTTACAGAAGAAATTCCAGGACAGCCAGAGCTACACAAAGAAACCCTGCCTTGAAAGGGGAGAAAAGAAAAGAAAAGAAAAGAAAAGAAAGCCAACTATGTACCTGAGCTTTAACATGTCAGGTAAATTTAACCAAAAGTGAGTGTGTGGAATTACATTTTACATACTTTAAGTAAAAACACAGTCCTTATTTAATGATAAAGAAATATAAGCATTTATGCTCCTAGAATCGACTAGCCAAAGCACATGCCAACAGCTGGAAGGCGAGGGGTTGTTTCTGCTGTTATTACTCTTGTGAGCAGTGCTAAAGACCCAGGCGAGTGCCCTGTCACTACACCTCCCTAGAATAAGGACTTAAATATCTCAGTCTTAACAATGAATATGGCACAGCTCAAAGGTGAGCAGGGAACCTGAAGAGCACCACAAAGTAAAAGGAAGTGATATACATATAACAGACACACAGGTTTCTTTTTTTTCAACTCCATAGGGCTCCTACTACATGGTATATCACACACAAATCTACAGCATTGTGAAGATGAATGTCAAGCAGATTTCCTACAATGACTGAACCAGAACACAGCACTGGGAAGAAACCCAGACACTTCCCCCATATCTGGAGATTAAGTGACATATTCGTGAGCCAACTGTGGCTTGAAAGAAGATTGCTCCCATGTGGACTGACTGTCACTATTAGGAGG